CTTTGCTCTGTGCAGAGGGAATTTCAGCCCTGTAGCTGACAGCAGCAAAGTCTCCAAAATCCAGGCAGTAAAGGCGATCAGTGAGGTGTCTGGACAAGAAATAACAAGAGACTTTTATAGTCTCCCAGGTCCAACTGAAGCAGTGATCAAAAGGAATATGAAATTAAGAAAAATTTTGGGAATGCACATAAAAATGTATCCTGGGGCGAGTTATTTCTCAAGAATCACAAAACCTGTGATTCTTGGGAGCACAATACTGAGGCTGACAGAAAGTGGGCTTAATTGGGGAATGGCCGTGGTTTATGCGGTAGGCCATGAAATAGAAAATAATGTAACTTCTCTACAGCCAGTGCAGAAACTGGATAGTCCCTGACACAGATAATTACCTACTGTGCAATTACCTTTGCACCAGAGCAGCTGGGTGGCAGATCTAGCCCAGCTCCTGTTAGAATTTAGCATCACTGTGCAGTGAAGTACTTGTCTGTATGCACATGCCCTCACTCTGTCTCTGTGATGTCTTTGAGGTTTTATGCCACACCAAATCGAGTTAAAACTAACCAGTAGGCTGAAAAATTAGGGGAAATGGCACTGAGAGAGACAGACCAATCAGCGGAACGCAAAGCCGGAGATTGTTTAAGCTATGTGTCCTTTAGACTAAGAAGTGGTCCCTGCTCCAAAAAGGCTGGGAGGGGGGCTGGACCCACTTGGGTGGGATGGGATGGGGCGTGATGGCCAAGCTTGGTGGGGACATAGCCCCAAAAGGGACCAGGGCTGCGTTTTGCGGGGCCACATCTTGCTGTGGCCAAGAGGCTCTGCCGCGGGGGGCAAAGCCCTGATCTGGGAGCAGCTCCCCTGGCCTGGGGCGGGCAAAGGGACGTCTGCCCCCCTTCCTGCTCTGCCTCTGGGCTGGCTGCGGGGAGATGCACCATCCCCTGGGGTGTTTTCTGCTGGTGTTGTCTCTACGCTGGAGGTAGGGCTGGGTTTGTCTGAGTTTGGCTGTCTTGGAAATCTATACTCTGGTTTGAGCCAAAAGAAGGTTCTTCAGGGGATATGGGCAGTTGAGGACCTGCGCGACAAGCCGAAGCTGGGCAGAGGAACGGAGGTGGTCCTGGCACTGTGCCCGCCAAGCACCATGGGACCCACGCTGCGGGTCATGACAAGATTCCCCCGTCTGCAGCACGTCAGGGTGGGCTTTAACTGCTGTGAGAGATATCTAACTGCTGGGTTACACTCCAAAAAACTCCCGGCTAAACAATAACTCCATCACCCCACCGCCAAGGGCCGCCTGAATGTGGGTTAAAGCACTTGGTTACATGGCTCAGTTTTCCTCTGCAGAACTGATTTTAGCGAATGAGGCATGAGCACGTGCGAAATACCAGCCTTCACGCATGCTTCAGGGTGGGTTTAACCCAGTGGGTTTCCAGTGCCACCATTAGCTAAAGCAGAAACATCTCCAGGTGCAGCTGCACCTTGCAGATGTTGAGCCTTGGAGTCCAGGCTGGCATAGTCACAGTGATCCTTGCTTGTCACCTTTTTGCATCAGCTGCATTTTGAATATTTAAGGCACAAACCTTAATGCGGTGTATATGCCACAGTCAGCTGCTTTCATAAAAGTAAGGATCAGGAAAACAGCCAGAAAGACACTGATGTCTGCATGAATCTTTGTCTTTCCCATCTTTTGTCTGTTGAATGCAGGCAGGACAATGCTCACTGAGCTGTAGTGCTGCCCTGAATAACCACAGCAACACGAACCACCTCTGCCTGCAGATGTACTGTAGCACTCGGGTCAGCCTGTGCTTGTGTCGCGCTGGTTTTGGATCCAGAGCTCTCCGTTATTTGTCTGTTTTCTTTTTTTCAAGTTTGCAAACTGTGTCCTCAGTCAGCACTAACCACAGGGAGACTTTCCACTTGGAAAGGACAGGCGAGTTTCTTTACTGCTGTGCAGGCACTGGAAGGCTCATTTTCGACTGTAACAGGGAAAGGGCTGTTCTCTTCCACCCTTGCTCACCGTCTAGGTCTGAATGCTTAAAAAGGACAGCTTATTCCACAAGTCCTGATGTAACCCCATGTATGGCATTTGCCCCAAGGCAGTGAAATTCCAGCAACTTGATACTTCAGGCTATGACCTTCGAAGGGTTAAGGGAGGCCCAGCTGCAACCTCCTGAGCTCACTCTGATGCTCAGTTAATGCTTGGACAGCTGCACTTGTAATAGCACTGAGTTAGGTGCTTTGGGCTCTGCCAGACCTCTGGGACACGAGTGTTGTCCCATGGGGTGGGACGTGGACTTATAGAAGTATCCCCTCGCCTTCCTGAGCTGTGATAACCGGCTTTGCTGGTGCTTTCCTGAGCTTGCAGTGATTTAGAGCCGATTCCTGCGCAGAGGCGAAGGCAGAGAAGAGGAGGGCTGGAAAGCCGTGCCTTGCACGGGAGCGAAGCCGCCCGAGTCTGTCTGGCGGCGCTGGCGGGGGGGGGCGGGGCTGGGGCGGAAG